TGGGAAAGAACAATCAAATCACATAATTCGGAGAAAGTAATAAAACTGTAGAAAACACAAAGGCTTCAGTCTCTTGGTAGCTTTAGAAGCTGAGTCTCTACTTGACGTTTGTTACAGCTTCTCACAGGATAACAGGAGGATAGGTACAAAAGAAAAAGGAGGAGGAGAAGCAGAAGCAGCTGTGTAAGTCTCCCAGTGCTCTTCAAGATCTTGGCAAAAGCATGTATAAGGCAGACAGCCTCACTGTATCCATTTCACCCTCAGGCCAGCAGTCACTGCTTTGGCTTTTTCTGCAGTCAGAGATGCCCTTAATGATGAGGGTTTTGTCCTTTTAATTTTTTGCCTAAGCTTTAAAATATGCTACAGTGTGTTTTACTGCAAAGTCAATTCACTTCACTCTGGAAACTGTGATTTTAAACAGAAACAACAAAAAATAATTCATTTCAGTAACAAGAAAACAAGAATCAGCATTTCTTTAAAGTGCTCTGACAGAGGAGAGACTGATTTATATGTCCAGGAGAAACCCAGTGTCTGTGTATGACTCATGGGCCAGGCTGCAGCTTCAGTCGTGCAGGGGAGCACGAAGTTTCGCAGAGACTCCCACCTCAGTGAACTGAAACTTTTGAGGTGCAAATTAGCTCGAGGCTTGCACAGCAAACTAGAAATGTTTTCCAGTTCTTTAAGCAAATCCTCAAAAAGGACCCAAATCCTAAACAAGCAAACACTCACCCCCCAAAACCCAAATGGGCAGCTGCCCAACCTTCCCCCATAGTTAACAAAGGCTAATTTAGGTGTATAAGTAAAAAAAAGTTTTTGTATATACCGGTAGCTACAGAAGAAAGCTCTAAGTTTGGAGTAAATGAAAGAATGGATGTTAACGTGGGAGTCTATAGTGCTCAACCATCTCCACACTGGGCAACTGAACGTTTGGCCACTCTTATAGTTCAGCCAACCTCTTACCCATCGCACCCTGAACACACCACACCAAAAAGCTCCTACACTCTCAAAACTCTCCTGAAAAAAAAAAAAGAGACAATGGAGTGATTGCATGAGAAATAACGTTTAGTACAAAACCTGGAGTCATCCTTACCTGATCTGATTTTACTGACTGTTTTTTCTTAGCTCTACTGTATAATCTCAATTCCTCCATCATGCCTCCCTGAAAGCCTGCCCCTCTTTACTTTTCTGTGGGGCTGAACTCTCAGTGGTAGGTGACACGCTGTCTTCCACTATTTTTAAGAGAAACTCCATGTGGGGAGAAGGAGGCATCTGAGTATGAGAGGCTTTTGGTGTATCAAGAGCATTATCATTTTATTTTACTGTGGTGGTTGTGTTGTGCTGTAGAAAGACCAAACAAAAGTTGACATTAAAGCAAGTCTTTGACACATGGTTCAGTCTTCTTTCCGTTTCAAAAGATTGCCCATTAAATTCATGGTTTTAAGAATAAAAACTACATTGCTGTAATATAATGCAGAATTCTCACTCATGTCGAATTTTTATTGACTTTAGTGGGAAGTTAGGCTAAATGACAAGTGTGGAGCTGAGGCACTTACATTTCAGTGAATTGCTTAAATGAAATAAAATTGCGTTTTAGGAAACTGATTCCTATAACATTGAAACTGCATGGATAGTACCAGGATTGGGGCATTTGCCTGTTCTAGCTGTAGGTGACAGTATTTTATTATTACAATTGGATCTGAATCTCAGTGGAATGAAGCAGAGTTCGCTTGAAAGCAGCTGCTTGTTTTGTGCAACAGCTTATGATGTCTTAACAGTAGATGGTTGCTTATTCAGTGGTTGTGAAACCGTTTGGTAATGACTTTTACTGCTCAAGTTAACTTTAAAAGACCCTGGTGGAATAAATCAAAGTCACATTGCTATTCATTTCTTTAGTCCTTGTGATACTTAAATGCTCTTAGTATCAAATGGGACATGTCACTGTTTGTTTTGATAATCTTAATTTATGCGGTCTTCAAATAACCTCTTTTGCTGAGACATCGCATTCCTTGTTTTAAAAACCCTCACTAGAAACTGATAAAATTGCATTCCAAGTGGATCTGAGCAAGTAATGAGAACCGCATGGGCTGCAATAATTGTTTGCCTATTCAAGACCAAAATTACATTTCAGATCATGGATTACTCCAGTTCTGGAGTGGACTGTGTGAATTATTTGCTTTATTTTTAATTGCCAGCTTTATAGGGGTACAGACAAATATAATAGTTGTTCAGTAAATGGAAGAGATACTGACAAAATAAAGAAGCACTGAATTTAGTTTGTGGTCTGCCTAGGTAGCTCAAAGCTCAGAGAACTTTCTGTCTTGACCACATAGCCCTAATTTCAAGGCATCATTCCAATGTGTCACTGGTAAATTAAATGGAATTATTTCATTGTTTTCTTAATCTTCGGTCTGGGATTGTTTTCCAGTTGAGTGAGAGTAACTGGCTGTTATGTTAGTCACAAGATTTTTATATTAAAAATTTAAAATTCAGGAAAAACTAAAAAGAGATCCTTTGTTAGCAGATAAAATCCTCTTGAGTTTATTCCGAATGCAGGAGTAGTGTCTTGTTTTCAGAATGGCTGTATTCTCTTTTTGATTTTGTTTTCTGTTTGAGAAATTATTTACTAGAAGTATTAGCACAGAAAGATGAAAGAAGAAACTCTTAAATCTGCCCCAAGTCATGTACTAAGGGCTTCATTAATATACAGCTAATGTTTTAGACAGTTTTACCTCTCGCTTCTTTTTAGTCTGAAGGGTTGGCTTAGATGATACTAGAAGAGTTATTTAAACTGAAGATATTCATATATGCTTTTAGAACAGGCAGCTGTACATAGTAATTCCATTTACTGACTGATAAATACTGGATCATGCATTTATATTACATGTTTATGCCTTTAGGGAAAGCTTTCATATGAGTACAGTGGATCTTTTTTTCCCTCAAGGAGAATGATCGATGTGGAAAGGTCTCTTACTCGTGGCTAAGCCAAAACATCAGTCTGGTCAGCAGCCTGTAATCAGATCATGTAGTGAATTTCTCAGAAATAATTGTCCCAAAAATCAGCATTTCAGCGAGGATTAATGTTAATATTTCAGTTTGACACTTCCAACATTTACAATATTTGTAGGTGTTAATAAGAGGCCGTCGAAGATTTCGACTTGCTTTGTCTTTTCATTCTAAAAAGGAGGTTTACTTGCTTTTTCTTACAAAGCTCATGGAACCTTGGACTTTCTGGCATTAAAGAAACAGTCTGAAGACTGGTAAATAGACTGAGTAACGTCTCTTTCTGCGTTTGTAATTTACGTCCTGACATGGAGGATCTTCTCGCTGTTCCCTCACCACACTCTTCCCCACCCATAGATGATTACCCTTCCTGGTACTCCACATCTGGATGACTGTTTTCTGCCACTGCCATGTCCTGGGAGTTTGTGGAATTTACTGAGCAAGGGTATTTTAAGCCCTAAATAAAAGGATGGCCCAGATGTTCGAAGCTGCCCGACGGTCTCAAATGTCTAATGTGCTGGGGAAACTGAGTGGCCAGGACAGATTGGCTGTCCTGAAATTCCCAGTCTGTGCTTGGTATATGTGAATGAATTTACAATTGTGTCCATTTAACACCAGTGTGACTGCAGCTGGTAAGTTTATAAAACATTTCAAAGGACAGGCAATAGGCTCTTAGAGGGGGAATGTGTATTTTGAATTGGTTTTATATGTTGACTTGACTAGTTCTTTCGCGTTCTTTTAAGGATCACTCAGAAAACCCTCTAGGTGCAGCAGTCACGCTGGCTCATGAACTGGGACACAATTTTGGAATGAATCATGATACCTTGGAGAGGGGCTGTAACTGCAAAGCGTCTACCGATAAAGGGGGTTGCATCATGAACCCGTCTACTGGGTAAGTGCGAGGGTAAGCACTGGCAAGTTACAGTTACAGTGGGAAATCTTTAGTTTCATTTTGTATCATCTCAGGAACGTTTTAAAGGGAAAAAAGAAAAACCTTTTCAACACCTGTCAAAACTTCTCGCTGTTATCCCCCTCAAGCTGAAACAATTAAACATGTTATCAGAGCACAACATGTACCATTGTACCTTTCCATTTCTGTGTTACCAGCGTGAGAGACAAAAATGCTGTAAGCAACCGGTTAATTTAAAACAAAACCAAAAAAACTGCATTGCGAGTATTGAATCAGAATTTCACCTTCTCTCATCCTGCCAACTGAGGATCAGCCGTAATAGGAAATGAGCAGCATGCCAAGGCCAAGACTAAGATGAACGCGTAGGAAATAAAATAATGCAGGAAATATATTATTAGCCTCTCTGTAAAGCCTTTGTCTTGTGCAGAGATGGTTTTTGGTTTTGCACAAACTTTTTTGCGTTTCACCCCTTGTTATTATAAGTGTACAGCAGTTTCAGCATGTAGGCAAATTAAATCTATAAGGTCAGTGGAGTTAGGGCTGTTCAGTGGCCGGGTGGAGAACTTCCAAGGGAAAATATAAGACACAGTGGGAAATAAAGCCAGTGAACCTGCGGTCATCTCTCTGAGTCAGTGCTCAACAGTTACTCTGCTGATGATAAAGACATTATGTCAACGGAGAAGCGTGGTGTTTTTGCAGACACGAGAAGTACAGGCCATGACCACAGTAACTAGTTACAGCTTTCTTCTCTGTATTTTAAAATATTGTTAGAAACTGCACAATATAATGAATGAGTTCTCCACATCCATATTCAGACAAGAACTGATAGGATTAAATTGAAATAAGAGAGACTAGATTTATTTACCAAAACTTTCTGGTGGTAAGTGATGTGCTGGACTGGACTGCCTGCAGAAATGTTACTGCCTGTGACTGGAAGCTGGTAAGAACCAGTCGGACAAATATCTGTCAGCAGTGTCTTGTAGGTACAGCTGGATCTGCCTTAGGGCAAGGGGATGGTCTAGATGATCTTCTGATGTCTCTTCCAGCTCCAGCATTCTCTGTGTGTGCTTGAACTTCATCTGTTGCTTAAAAATCTCTTCTGGGAATTATGATCAGCTCAACCTCTGCCTTCTGAGAGACTGTTTCTGGGAAAGAAGGAGAGCGATCTGGGAGAGGCCAGGGAGTGTTGGGCAGGGTTGTTCCCTGCTGGTCAGCCTAACAGCAGCCTTGGCGTTTCTTCAAAGGCGTGCTGTCACCCTCCTTCAAGGCAGAAAAAGAGATTCTGGCCAGAGGCCAAGCACAGCAAGTTAAGAAACAAACAAAAGAGACTTGTGTGTGTGGAGGAGAATGAGAGTGATTTCTGCAGTTTGGAAAAGAAAAATAACTTGGCTTTTCTAAAACAACAGGTAGTAAATATCTGTATGGAATGGCATTCTGCAGCACATCAGGGCCCCTATGCACACTGTGGAAACAAACTGAAATTGGAAACAGGGCTCTGAGGTGAGGTGACGTGATAGGTGGTAAGCAATGGGCAGCCAGGTCTGGACTCTGAGCTCCTGGAAGATGCGTGCAAGCTTTAGTCATCTCAGCCGAGTTACTGGTTGGGCATACGGTTACTCCACTTTTGGAAATAAATACAGGAGATGCTCTCAGGATAGAAATTTCTAGACACTTTCTGAACTCATCTTGTGACGGTATCTCTAACCTGAAATTAAATAGCTTTTCCCTCCTGGTTCTGCCCTCTGCACTGGAGTCCTTTGAGTGTCCTCTGCCAGTCCAGACGCTTGGCTCTGGCTTGGCTCAGGGCATAGAGAGAACACGGTTGTACCCACTCAGAGTATTCCTCAGGTATGTGTCCAAGCAGCTCAGCTCACTTCATGTTGGGGTTTCTGCAGCACGTTCCAGGTTAAAGGCTGTGCTTCCTTCAGCAACAGCGTGCCCAACTCCAGCACCCCACGGGTTTGATGGTTTGGGGAGGGGGCCATCAGGTACAGTTCCGCTTTGTAATGCTCTCCTTGGGTTTTTACCAAATTTTATATTCAGCTTGTGCCTGAGGAGGAGTTGTGGCATTCACAGAACTAAGTAGGCTGTTTTGTTTGCAGTGATTATTGATTTATAAATGGAAATTTTAACATCAGGTTTGTAGCCTTAGGCTTTACCTTCATACTGTGCTGTCAATCTGTAATAAGTATTCCGGAAGAATACGTTATGCCTTAAGCCAAACTGCATTTTACCAATTTAAAATTAACACTTTGAATATTTACCCAACATCTGACCAATAGAAGTATTCCTGTGAGCACCATTATTCAAGGAACACTGGAGAGTTTTCAGCTCTGGAAGTGTGTTTCTGTTAAGGGAAGACCAAATGAATATTCCCTACCTGAAATGCATTCTTAGAAGAGCAAAAACATCAAAGCAAAGAGCATCCCATGGAAGCCACATGCATTTAGAGAGACAACCTGCTCTCTCAGTATACTCACTGGCACTCACTCTGTGCTCTTCTAATTTCTGTTGGTTTAAGGTAGATTTAACAAGTGCAAGGGAAAAAAAAACAACCTTGGTTGAAGCTAGTGTAAAAAGCGTAAGCCCCTGAGAAGTCCTTATCTGATATCTAAAAAGAATAGAAAATATAGCAGAAAAGCATCTGTGAACAACTTCGGGGTCATTCGTATGATTGTGCAGCAAAAGGGGATGTTTTAAGGCTTTTTACTTAGAAGTGATTTCATTAATTATTGCCAATTCTTTCAGTTCTTATGTTTCAGTCTTTGAAGAGGTCTTGGAAATTACTTTGTGGTGGAAAAAATCTCCAGGGATCAGTGTGGAATTTAAACTCTGTTGGATATATCCTTTAATGAGCTTCCTATATCTTTTACTCTTAAAAGATACCAGCAAGATGTGTACCACTTGTGTATGAGCTACAAATGCCTCAAAGACCGGCTACTAGAGCAAAATATATTTTGTGTAACATGAAATTAAGCATATAAAACCCCAAATTTGTGACACTCCAGGCCTTTTAGAGATTCCAGTATCTGCTATGGAAATCATAGAAATCCCACTGTAGAAGTTTGGGGGGTTGCTATAAAAATAGTATTAATAAGGAAATATTTAATAATAACATATTGTTCCCTTCTTTATGCATATGTTTTAATGATATTTCTCCAGTTCTTTTCTATTGCTTTGACCATAGACTGTTCCAAATGAAAAAGAAGGGCATAAGGAGTCTTAAAGAGATTTGCAAATCGTTTTACTGAGATCACAATATCTGAAAACTAAGGGACTAGACTGAACCAGCGAGGTCATTTCAGTATTCCACTTGTTTTCCAAGTATCTCCCTGAAGTTCCCACTCTTAGGAGTGAAAATATTCTTCCTGACAGCTAGATAAATACAGAAGAGTTCTGGTGAACCCCAAGGCATTAGTCTAGATTTATACCTCTGCAACTAAAACAAGAATTTAGCACAAACTGCAGAGCAAAATTATGCCAATTAGCAGTGCTTGTTTATTAAATAATTTTGGAAATGCACTTTTTATGTGCTCCTTCATCAAAACTGAGCACCAGTATCTCCATGGGGGTTGAAATTGGGTGAGTTCCCCCAAAGTAGTTGAAAGCTTAAGAGTTCATATATGCTTGAAATTTCTTGCCAGCCTTAAGGGAAGCAAAATTTTTATCATCAGTCTTCTCCCCTCCTGTAAACCCAAGGGCCCTCACCCACACGTCTGTGCCCTTGCCAGTAACGTGCTCTTCTAGTTTATATATAGGTGACTTACACACCTGACTTGCCATCAGGGAAGCTGAGCATGCTGGAAACATGTTCTCGCTTCCCTCATACAGAAAGTACTCCTTGATGCCTTCCCATTTCCCCCCCTGCTGAGTTCAGGTATTAATGAGAGGCCAGGAATCGACTAAGGACAGCTGGTTTTACCAAGCTCATTCCGATGCTGATCCTACTGTAGTCTCCATCCCGTTGCGGAATCCCAGGACTTGCTGTGCTGAAAGCTTCTTTCCACAGGAGCGTGTTGCTCTTACCAGGATCATTTCTTGCTGCTGAATCATCCCAGCCACGGCTAATTGAAATGCCAGGCAGGCTCCTAGAATCAGGCCGTTTGCTTCATCTCTCTTCACACTTCCGTAGACAGAGGCAGGTTTTTACCATGCTGATAGAAAAGAGGGTGACGGGAAAAGGGCAGCTTTGTAGTCTCTCCTCCAGACCCCTTTGCATCTGGCTATGGGAATGATGGATTTTTTTCTCCCAATCTGTCTTACTGTCCACACCCCATTTCTTTCTCTATCCATGTACCATGAGATGGAACACCTCATCTTGACCTGGAAGGGTGCATGCTTTAACCAGCAGCTGAAAGCTGTCTTTACAGCTCCAAATCACGGGGGGCTCTTACGCACCCATTCAGCAGACCTCCATTACCCCATTGCACTGAAACTACAAATGGAAAATGCAACCAGCTTGGAGTTTGTCCTGCAAACAAGTGCGGTGGTAGGAAGGCAGAAGGGGGTTATGCTGAGGATCCATGACGGTGTCTGCGAGGGCACGCCCTCAAATGCCCTTGAACTCCAGCATCAAGCACCATCAGTTCGTGTCCAGTCTTCCAAACCTTGCTGCACATCACGCACAGCCTGGCAGCAGGTCATATAAGTCTGCTTCAACTCTTATTTCTACCTTGGCTGTAAATTGCTTCTCCTCAAAGACCTTGATGAAGAAGCGATTAAATAATTTAAAATAACAAATCCTTAGGAAGAGAAAAATACCGTATGGGCTGTTTCAAGACATAAAACAAGTGGTATATTTTTAAGAAGTCCAAAACCTGGTAGGTGAGAAAGGGCCTGGCTATTGCTATTTGCTCAACAGACTTTTGGATGAAAGAATATTTCTTCAGAAACTTTTCTTTTAATCTAGGTCCCCAGTAGACCTGTTTCTTCCCTGTTCCAGGAGTTCCCAGGAATGCAGGAGTTTGCATCCCAGTGACGGC